TCTGTACCTCAGCAATCAGGTTAGATTCTTGGATTAAGAATGCAGGAAAAGATTAAATGAGAACAAGAGGTAACTAATTTAGGATTTGGTAAAAGAGATTATTTGAGCATTCAGGGGAGTCAAAGAATTAGAAGATGTTAAAACTGTGAGGAGTTGTGATACTTCCATAAAGGAAGGAGAGTGAGGTAGTGGTCTTGAAATACTATATTGACACCCTGGCATTTATTCCTGGCACAACTCCAGTCCAGGCCTTTATGATGGCTGGAAAGGAGGTTCATAGTGGGGTTTGAGCTTTCAATTCATCTATTTCTGGTCTTTCTACCCTTCTCTCCTTTCTTCCAGTATGCACCATATTCAGAGAGTTGGTTCTCAGCTTCCATATACTCCCAAGTTCTTCAAGGCAAACATTCCCAGTTGCTTCAACTCTCCCTTACATAATGTAGACTCTTGTTTGTGACTTTTCAACGTGTCCACATTTCTCTTAAAATATGTTCCCAGAAGTGAGAATCATGCTCCTCATGTAGTCTGGTCCCATGATCTTTCAGGATTCTTTCTCAATGATGTTGCCACAGATTGACTTTTTAGCAGTTCCTTACAATGATCCATTTTAAATTCTCAATTACTTACCAGCAAAATGCTGCTCCATTTGAGTTTGGTGTAGTTGGATTTTTCAATCCAAGGGTCAGAACAGAGGATTTTATATTTGTGCTGTAATGGTCTATATGGTGGCACTGGTCTTTGGTCTTGTTCAGTTGAAAGTCTTGAAATCTGATTTTCAACCAGCAGATCAGTTCTTATTTCTCACTGTGTAAACAAATGTGAAGGAAGAACCCATGGAATTAACTAGTCCATGGGAATGTGATCTTGAATTTTCTGATGGTTGCAATTTTAAATGGTTGAAATTTAAACCATTCCCTTAGGTTTCTACTTTTATTTATACCACTTCTTATGACTTGTGTTCTTAATCCTATTGATATCTACTTCCTTGGATAGCTTATTCCATCATTCTCTATCTCTTTTTAGCTTTTTACTTTATGTCCTTATCTAGATATATCTTCATCTCATTCCTTCTCTTTACAACCATGTTACCTCCTCATAACCCATTGAAATCTGACTTCTACCTTCATGCCACAGAAAGTTCTCATATATAAGCCACTAATCACTATTTTAAAAAATGTTTTATTGTGAATTATGTGATAGTTTATGTGGTAGAACATTAGTTTTGCATTCATCCTATCATATATCATTTTATTGCCATGGTTACAATCTCTTCCATACATCATCAACCAACCAAAGGGTATACCCTGCAAGCCTGTCCCCCGGTCGTAAGCACATAGCCCCTCTCCCTCTCTCCAGCTGCTCAATCTCCACGTCATCGTCTCTGCCTCCATCTCAGGC